TTAGCATCATTTGGTAGACATTGTCTCATATATTTCCTATTAAAGCATATGTGTAAGCTACAATTCAAACTCTTAGCACATATGTAGGGGAAGCAATTGCTACTATATGAGATTCATGAAACTTGTCCATATCCTTTTACACATGGTAAATATGCTTGGACAAGCAACATGGATTCAATAGAATTTCAATTCATATCTTTATGAAAGGGTTGTCATCAATTACCAAAAAGGGGGAGATTGAAAGCTCTAGTTTGGTTTTGGCGAATTGATGAAACCCTAAGTGCTAACCTAGTTTATCAAGTGATCATGAAATAAATATCATATTCCAAGTGGTGAAACAAATGAAGATCATGACATGATGATGGTGATGCCATGGTGATGATCAAGTGCTTGGACTTAAAAAGAAGAAAGAGAAAAAGAAAAGGTTCAAGGCAAAGGTATAAATGATAGAAGCCATTTTGTTTTGGTGATTGAGACACTTAGTGATCCACATTTTGTGTTGGTTGTGCGGCACCCTATTGAGGGTTTGGCGTGTGATGCCAATTGGCGCGTGAACCTCCAAGTGAGTGAATTGCCACAACGAGGACTAGCTTGTCGGCAAGCAAGTGAACCTCGGTAAAAAATCATTGTGTCATCATTTGATTTTGAGGTGATTGGTCTTCATTGTTATTCATTCTTGTGATTGATTGGCTCCTTCCTCGACATGGCGGTATAACTATCTTGCTCACTCTCTTTACATTACCGCAAACTAGTTGTCAAGCTCTTTAGTGTAGCTAGTTGTGAGAGCTTGTTAGTTTGGTTAGTGTGGCTCTTTAGTTAGCCTTTGAGAGCACACTAACTTAGTGTAGTGACATAGCTATTGTGTGGATAGAAACTATATTAACTAGAATTGTGGTAGGTGGTTTGCAATTTTAGTAGGCTAGCGCAATACTTGCTTTGCCTCATAATTGTCTAACCGATTTGCTAAGTATTGTTGTAGAAATTTTTATTTGGCTATTCACCCCCTCTAGCCGTTAGGACCTTTCAGCGGTGCTTAAAGCGCCATATAAGGTTTTAACAGATTGAACCCAAATAAGAAATTAGAAGATACACTATCTTTATAAAAGATAGAAAGATCTGGGGAAGCATGGTATGTAGAGGTATGTAGAGACCTAAGACTTAAAGAGAAGCGAGACTACGTGCCCACTTCAGTTATTCAAAACAATGAATTTCTCAATACCTATTGATGTTGTATGACTTATACAACACCTGTTGTTGGCTTTTCGAAGAAGATGAATAATATAAACAAGGATCTTATGATACAAGAGCCTGTAGAATCAATTGCCTCTTGGCAATGAAGAGCAACAACAGCCCCATATGAAAGTGCCAGTAGTTGAGGCCCTAAAAGGTCTCAAAGAATTAGTAAACTGGTTTTTTGATGACTATGAAGTCTATGTTAGTAAATAAATTCAAATGAATGGTGATCCCACCTCATTTGAAGAAGCCATGAGAAACGTTTACTCATTTAAATGGTAAGAAGCTATGAAAGTTGAAATAAATTTGATGAATACCAACGATGTTTGGGAATTAGAAGTAATTTCTAATGGAGCCAAAACAGTAGGCTATTAATGGGTCTACAAGACAAAATGTGACTACAAAGAGAATGTAGAAAGATATAAAGCACGACTTATGGCAATATGCTTTACGCAAAGAGAATGAATAGATTACAATAAGAGTTTTTTCTCCACTCTTATATAAGGATTCTTTTAGAATCATAATGGTGTTAATGGCACATTACGATGTAGAGTTACATCAGATGGATGTAAAGGCGGCATTCCTCAACGGGGATTTGTATAAAAACGTTTACATGGCATAACCCAAAGGTTTTGTCATAGAAGAAAAAGAACATATGGGATGTTGTATGTAGAAATCCATTTATGGGTTAAAAGTAAGTCTCTAGACAGTAGTATTTGAAGTTGATGAAACGATAAGAAAGTTTAGGTTTTAAAGAAAATGAGAAGGACAATAGCGTTTATGCGAGGATCAAAAATGGAAAATTCATTTTTCACATCCTGTGAATATATGACATTCTACTCATTAGTAGTAATGTTAATCTATCATTGGAGAAGAAGTTTTGTCCTCAAGTTTCAATGTGAATGATCTTGGTGAAGCGTCATTGGTTCTAGAATCAAAATTCATCGAGATTGAAGAAAATTGGGTATTAGGACTATCGCAAAGGTATACTTAGAAAAGATTATAAAGAAGTAAAGTATGCATGCGAGTAAACCTACGCCTGCTCCTATAGTCAAGGGTAATAAATTTGGGAACTTTAAGTGTTTCAGGAACCGATATGAGATCGATCAAATGAATATGGTTCCATATGTTTTAGCTGTTGGAAGCTTGATGTGTGTACAAGTACAAGTAAGAACTTACCCTGACGTAGTTTATGTATCCGGAATATTTTGACAAAAGTCCAGTTAAGATATATATCACTGGAATGGAGTTGAGAACGTCTTGCATTTTTGCAAAGTATTATAGGCCTCATGCTGAGTAAAAAAGAATAAGTACTCTCAAATAGTTGAGTGTACAAATGTTAAGTCATAGCGAGATGTGTTGGAAAAAATCAACAGTAGTTGCTAACACTCGCAGTTAGAGTATTATTGTGGAAAAACTCCAAAGAAACAGTTGTGGTGTCTTCAGTGATGCATACCATAGTATAGCTTGACATGAGGCTTAAGAAACAGGCAAAAGGAGGTTAAGGGAATTTGTACCCAGATTTAACAATGGTAGACAACAACAATAACCATTTAAAGTAAGTTAACTCCTAAGACAATAGGTCAAGTGTGCTTCCAGACACATTGACACTAAGTTATATGTTGTAAAGGAGAAAATCCAGAATTATTCTGAAAGCATTGAGCACATAAGTACCGAGTAAGTACTTGCGGATCCGCTTACCAAAGGCTAACCACCCAGTGCATTCAGAAAACACACAGTCGACATAGATTTATGGGAAAGCCTATGATTTCTAGATACTAATGGCCTAGTTGAGTATCTGTTTCAAAACAGAGAGGTGCATTGTAGCTGTTAAATCTAATGGCAACTGACTGTGACGATGAGACACGCTGTATGCACTGATCTATGATGGAATAGGAAGAAGATAAAGTAAGTTAAGTTTAAGCCATAAGGTGAGATCATAAGGGGGAGAATGTTAGTTTGATCTCCACCAATTGGCCCAACGGCCAATCGGACCCCTTGACCATGTCCTGATCGGGGACGCTTAACAGACCACTAGTCGACGGCCCCCTGTCACACAACGCTATATAAAGAGAAAGGTGTGGGCCAGGGCATGAGGGATGAGGTTTACTGCCGCCACTGACCCATCGAAGTAACCCTAGAAGGCCCTTTGATCGTGGGCAACGCTGCAAGTGACGGGAAGCGCCGTTGACTGCGTCGCCGGCACCTGGACTACACCGCCACGTACTACGTAACAGCTGTCGTAGCGATTTCTTCCCCTCCACCTCCTCTGCCAAGCCCGAAGGTATGGGTCTCTACTCTGTCTCCCTCCCCCGAGTCTATGTCTCTCCTGGGTCATGTACTTGATCAATTTGAACCAAATAGAGATGAATCCACCCACTAATCTACACCTAGATGATCCTAAGCACTTAACATGCCTAACACCAACTGGCGCCTCAATGCCTCATTATCCTTCCCGGCATCTGCGTGCACCAGCGGTGGATCCTTTAATTTCTAGAACACCATCTGTTTCTCACCCAAGCATATTCAACTCTCAACCTCATCCATGTTACGTGCACGGAATATATATTGTACGTCCTTGTCGAGGGTATATAACTTATATGTGCGGATTTAGAGGAAATAAAGAAACATGTTACCTCCTTGAATAATTGCCACCCTCTCTTGTTTTTTTTTCTCAAATTTTAAAACCAGGCATCTTATTCTTCTCGACTCTCAAAACCATTTAAATTACATGTCTACATAGAATAGAAGTGTTTTTAAAGACGTTTCATTTTTTTAAAGTTAAAGAATATTATAAATACCTGATAAAGTTTTAAAACCACAAAAATGGCTCCGGGCTTTGTAGAAATTCCTAGAAAAATCATGAGATCAGCGGACCTTGATAAATTATTAAGAGCTCATGAATAAAATATCTAGAGGTTTCCAAACATAGATTTGGCTATAAGCAATTGGGAAACTATCAAAAAAGTATGAAAAATTCCCAAAACATTCTAATTAGTGTCTAAACGCGTTTAAAAAACTCTCCATGGTAAAAACATTAGATGCAACCAACAATAATGCAACACACACATTTGATGCTGAATACATCTGTACGTGTTTTGACATCAATTAAAATGTCGGGAATTTCCTAGAATTTTGTAGCTAGTTTCCTGTCTTCCTAGAACTAAATCTAATTATTTTATTTGGTTTGTCATGTCCTAGTATATTTCTAGAATTTTGTATCAAATTTTTTAGAAGCTTGTAGACTTTTTTGTGCTTTAAAAGTCTTATCAAGTATTTACTGATTTTTAATTTAAAAATAATGAAACTGTCTTGAAACCCAATTATAACAGGCGTAGGGATACAATTTCAATGGTTTGAAGAGGTGATAGGGTACGATTTTAATATTTGAGAAGAAAAATCAGATCACGGTTGTAATCCAGGAGGTAAAAGGATTTAAATGGCTTTATTTAAGAGTTGGTGGGCGAAAATTACATGAAATCGCTCGAGCAAGCCCAAAGACAGCCGGCCCATTTTTGACAGTACGGGTCGGCCCCTCTCGCTTGCTCCCGCTGTGCAGGCGGCGACGCGTCCGAGCGCACGGCCCAGGGCCCAACCCAACTCATCTAAACCCTAGCCCCCCACCGCTCTTCCTTGGTCGGCACAGCCACAACCTCCTCCAATACTCTTTCTCTCCCTCCCTCGCCGCCGGCCTCCTCCGCTTACCGCCACGCGCCACCTCCGCGACAAACCACCAAAGGAGAGAGAGGACTCGCTAATCTCATCCGATGGAGGAGGACTCGCTCAAGGGGATGATCTCCGCCATATCCTGGGTGCCCAGGGGCGCCGCCAAGAGCATGCCCGTCGTCGCCGACCCACCCACGCAGGAGGAGATCGCCGAGGCCATGAAGACCTTCGCCCTGGGAAGAGAGTGAGCCACAACTCCCTCCCCTCCCCTCTCTCCTTTCATCGCGTGCTCTACTTCCAGCAATAGTGACGAATTTTGTTTTGTTGCCGTGTGTAACCTGTCTGTCTCCAGCATTGCGCGCCCTGCTGTAATTCCAGCAATAGGCTTGATTTCACTTTTGTTGCAATCGTAACTTGTCTCCAGCTCCGGGAGCGACGTTGACGAGGATGATGATGCTGGCAACATGGAACTCGACGGTGCGGCAGAGGCGGAGGAAGAGGTGGAGGAGGTTGATGAGGCTGCCAGGGCCAAGGCCGTAGCCAAGGCGCTCGCCAAGGGCTCCAGTAAGGTGGACGACGTTGCTGATGGGCTCCGCGAGCTCAACATGGATGCATATGATGATGAGGACGAAGGTGGGCTTCTTCTCTTCCATTCATCCTCCTGCTAATTAATTCAATCAGACCAGGTGAAGCTGAGGCGATTGATGAATTCTTAACCTGTGATTATGTTAGAGGTTGATATTATGGGCTCTGGTTTGGGGGACTTGTACTATCTGGACAATGGAATGGACCCCTATCTCAAGAAGAACAATGTGAGTTCACTAACTCTGCTGTTTTACTTTCGTTGTTTGTGTACTGATGATAGAAACAAATGAATGCAAATTGATACATTTTCCGTACCTTATTAGGAGGAGGAGGAGGAGGACGACGACGACGACGATGACGATTCGGACATTGAAGATAAGATGATCATGCCTACCGATTTTGTTATTGTCTGCGCACACAGTGAGGATGATATTTTCTCTCTTCAGGCAAGTATCAGTTAACATATTTTCTGATTTTGCTAAAAAAACAGCCATGGTAACATTTTTTTTTCTTGCAAGAGTCGACCTGTTTGGATCCCCTACCAGCTAATAGTCTGGCTAGTGTCTTACCTACCACCTAGCTAACAATTAGCTATTAGCTGATTCTCTCCAGTTAACACTGCTAATAGTTAGCTCAGAGGATCCAAACAGGGCCTTAAGTATTTTCCCTGTAGTAATAGAACATGGTATGTTACCACAATCTCTTCTAGGTGCCCACTGATGTATCACGAATGACATTATAGCAATACTGGCTGTTGTTAGTAAATTTGTGTTTGGAAATTGATCCCAGCACGTGCTCTTAGTGTCTGTCCATGTAAAAATACAGTCAGGTCACATTACTTTCCATTTCTCGCCCTGTATGAATGACTTGCCAGACTGTCCTATGCTATTAGTTTTCATACTTGTTAAATTATTGTCGATGACAGGTCAACATTCTTGAAGAAACAGATGATGGTGAACAAAATATCTTTGTGCATCATGATGTTCCTCTTGCTGATTTTCCGCTCTGCACTGCTTGGATGGATTTTAATCTCAAAGGTGGCGAAAAAGGTAAAACTGGCATGTTAAAGTAAGGGGTACCAATCTATTTCTTTGGATTGGAAGGAACTTCTTATCTGATTCTGTGATTATGTTGCTTTCTCTGCACTTCAATATCACAGGGAATTTTGTAGCCGTTGGAACCATGGATCCTGCCATCGAAATATGGGACTTAGATATGGTATGGCTAGGGCTATATAACCATGAGGCGCCTCATTGCAAAACAGTTGATATATTATTTGATGGACCTTTGATATTTTTCAACAGGTTGATGAATTGCAGCCGCACATGGTGCTAGGAGGACTTTCAAAAAAGAAGGCAAAGGGCAAAAAGGTTTGCAACTATCTCTAATCTTGAATGAGATTTGGGCTATCATACTTCTGTAGGTTATTTTTCTGGATGTTCTGCTAAACATCTTGCTCTCCTTGTATAATTGCAGTCAATACTTCCAGCTTTACCCAAACTCCCAAAGTAACACTGCAGTTTATCTCGTTAATCTGTTGATTCTGGTTGATGACACTATTTACTATTAGTTTTTTTCTGCTGTGAAATGTGTTTAGCTTACCATGTGGTGCTGGTGCATCGTCTTTCTGGTTAATTGGCAGCTAAACTTTTGGCTAGATTCACGAATATTTTTTACTAGGGTCTTCTCCTTAGATGCAAGCAACATCACTGGGGGTTCTTCTTAGGTTCAGTTTGCTTGGTAGCTTTTGCCTATCAGAGTGATTAATGCAGCTAATGGTTCTCATGCGAAAGCTTAACAGCATGAAGCTGATTGGATGAATGTACTTATCCAGAGCAAAGATTGTTAGCACATTTTTTCTTTCATGATAGTATGATGTGCATTTCAATCTATGCAACTGAGCATTCATTTATACTTTTTCTTCAATCTTTGCGAGCTATACTTTTCTCTCTTGCAGGGGAAAAAGTATAAGAAAGGAAGTCACAGAAGTTCTGTGCTTGGTCTTGCATGGAACAAGGAAGTGAGGTGAGTTTTCATTTCAACCCAAGTGATGGTGCCTCTCTTCGCTTATTAAGCACCTGATGTTTGATTTATTGCTACGAACTCCAGGAATGTTCTAGCTAGTGCAAGTGCAGACACAACTGTGAAAATCTGGGATGTAGCTGTTGGTAAATGTGCAGTCACACTAGAACACCATGATGACAAGGCAAGGATTGATAACTATCTTTTTTGTCATTTTGGACTGATTCTGATAAATTATGTTGATTTACAATTTTTGTTTCCTTTATTTACTGGACTTGCAGGTTCAAGCAGTTGCTTGGAGCCCACAGTCACCTGAAGTTCTTCTTAGCGGATCCTTTGATAAAACAGTTGCCGTGGTAATGCATCTACCAGTTATCTTGTTTATTATTTATTGAATTATTCTTTATTGATATAGACCCAACATTTTAATTTACAGAATGATATGAAAGATGGTGGACAGAGTTGCCATAAATGGTCTGTTGAAGCAGATGTGGAAAGTTTAGCTTGGAATCCACACAATGAACACTCATTTGTGGTGAGTAAATGAAACTTGCAGTTTTCTGCATATCTAAACAGTCTAAAGAATGTGAGAAGTTGCTGAAAAACAAGAACTAGTTGAAATCTAGATGGATATAGTTAGTGATTCCCTCTTTGTGAAGGCAAACAACATGAGTATGGTGTGGGAAAGAGTTTATGATGTTAGTTGGTCGACCATGGGCTCAACCACCATGATTTAGTGAAAATTTGTTCAGATTCATCTCCAGTGCTTATCTTGCAATACACACCACTCTATTTTTTTTTCTTTTGGACCCTAGACATGAAGTAGTTGGTTATACTGATCTGCAGTTTTGTTATTATGAATATCTGGTAAATATCTCCTTGATGTTATGAAACAGTGTACCTGTATTTTCTGAATGTTCTGTATGATCTCCCAGGTCAGTCTTGAAAATGGGATGGTTCAAGCCTTCGATAAGCGAACAGCTTCATCAAGTTCTTCTGGCCAGTCTATGTATACCCTTCATGCACACGATAAGGCTGTTTCTTCCGTCTCCTTCAACCCATCTGCCCCCAACGTATGTTTTTCTTTTTGGCATATAGTTCTGTGCTAAATAGGGAGAGAAACACATCCACAAGTCCAGATTACTGATGCTAGTTTCTTTTCTTGCAGTTTCTCGCAACAGGCTCAGTTGATAAAATGGTAAGGACATTCCAATATTTTGGTTGCATATAGATATGTTTAAACTTGTTGCTAACACATCTGCAAACTTAGGTGAAACTATGGGATCTATCAAACGACAAACCATCATGCATTGCCTCCCAAAATCCAAAGCTTGTATGTTTTCAAATGAGCTAGATGTTTACTTTTGGAAGAAATTGTTTTATTTGTATCGCTTATACACTTGATTTTTCCAGGGAGCTATTTTTTCGGTATCATTTTCAAATGACAGCCCCTTCTTGTTAGCATGTGGAGGTTCAAAAGGCAAACTAAAAGTAATCTCCTCGCTCATCTCTATATGGTGTTGCCTTTGTTGCACGACTTATCTTTGATGGACATTGTTTTGCATCTTTGACAGGTTTGGGACACGCTAAGGGAGCCCGCCGTAGCTCACAAGTTCAGCAAATAGAACTGTCGCAATCTGCTGTTCCAAGTTATTTTCCGGCGTACACATGTTTGGGTAGATTGTTGAAGAGTTATAGTGGAAGTCTTGCCCTTGTGAGTTTTGAGTGCCCAGTTGTATAATGAAGCGATGAAATCAATCCAAGCATATGTATGAGTGGTTTGTACAACAAAAAATTACACTGGGCAAAGGTTTTGGAGTGGAGTTATCAAGGTATGACACTGCGTGTTATGGGCTGTGAACCTGTGATGCATTTTCAATTTTGTGAAAGAAAGCTAGCGGTCTTCACAGCAGAGCACTTTAACTCGAATCCAGTTTGAAGCTTTGGACACAATAGTTTCACAATTCACATGGAACAGCTCCGTTCGTATAGGTAAAAAAGGCCTCATGTCGTCGTAAAAACATTGCTCTTTCCAATTTTTTTTTTTTAATCTCTCGTCTAAGTACAGCTGTAGTATATGTTTGGATATAAACATATATCACCACATACACGCACACCTCACACACATACTATATACAAACCTATAACTATACCTAGACAACGAACGTAGCTGAGAGGTACTCGAAGATCACCAGACTCCAAATGTGGTGGACATATCATTTGACCATTGTGGTACATCTGCGTGAGAGGCAACTGAAATTATTAATGGAGAATTGGATATAAACACACACCACCATCCGCACATCGTATACAAACAAACCTACAACTATACCAGACAACGAACGCATGCTGAGAGGTATTCGAAGATCACTAGACTTCAAGCGTGGCAGACGTTACTTAACCATTATGGTACATCTGTGTGAGAGATGAAATTATTAACGGAGAATAAATCTGTGAGGTGAGGCTCCTGTTGATTCGAGGACCGGCCGCTCGTAGCACAGCGAGCAAGCCAAACGAGCTACGGCTCGTCCTGTGCTCTTGCCAATTCTTGGTCACAAATGTACATGAGATTTGAGCTGACTGGAAGGTAAAGAAAGATAAACTGCTACAACTAACTCTGTTCAAGCAAAAAAACTACCTGTCGTACTACTAACTAGTATTGTTACTTTAAAAATTCCAAATGTTACTTTTTCCCTGAAAATACTGGTGCACGTTTACTTTCTACCTTTTTAATTTTTTGCGCAATGCGAATAATTTCCACGGTTGTAAAGAAGTCCAATTGGATTATTCTATGAGCGTACAGTACGCCAATCCGATCACCTCACCGTGGCCATGCATCCGTGCAGACCCTCTTTTGCCACCATTTTTCACCCCTTTTTTTTCTCCCAATTTTTAATCTCCTTTTGACCTTTTCGCATCGGTGCTCCAACTCCTAGTATAGTGCGCCTTTTCCGTGTCACGTCGTGTGCGTGTGTGGTATGGCTATTGGCTGAGATAAGAATATGTGATCTCATCTCGAAACGGCATGCATGCATGCATGTAACCCTGACGCCGATCCGATTCAGCAGCCGCAAAAAAGCTAGCGGAGCCCGGGCAGCACAGCACAAGTGGCTCCGGGCCTCCGGCTGCTCGTGATAATCCATCCATTCGGTTAGTTTATGTCGTGATTAAATTAAATTAAATTTGATTTGCAGTACGTATCATTTCTAAAATATTCGTGTGGGTGTAATGGTGTATAAGTGTTTGTGCGTGTATGATATCGTTCGACATAGTCTGAATAAGCACGGCGTGTGCATCTCTTGCCTTTTTCTTGTTGCACCTTTTCCGTGCTTGAACATTCAGCATTGCGTGTGATCGCCCCTATTTTATTTGATCCAACACATGCGCCGTTCTTCAGCATATATGCGAACGTACCACCTCTGCACAGGTGCGTTGGCGGTTGAGCAAAAGCAATTTTTTTCTTCAAAAAAAAAAAATGGACCATACAGGAGAACCCTCGTTCTTACGAATGCACGGACATACTCTTCGCTTGCTTATATACGATCGTAGATTATAAGCTGGAATAATATTTTTCTCTCACACCAAACCAGCCAGCAGTAAATAATCTATAATCGTTTACGACGAAACGAACAGACTCACGTTGATAGATCTTGAGATTAACGAGATCATTATAGGCACCTCATTATTTACATGGCATTGTCAATCCACCACTGAGAGAATAATGTCGGGTGGGTAGATTGCACCATAACACGCTATGCTCAGTGTTATGAAATGCTGGAATTTCACAAATGTTTCAACAAATCACACTATTTCAGGAAGGGTAGGGTTCATTGCCTGGCCTCATTGGCAAATGTGCAATAGAATTTTAATGGTAATGTAATATAGGTGAAATGAACTGTGAGTCCCTAAAAGTTTCACATATTTCTATTTAGGTCCATGAACTTTCAAAGTGATCATCTAGGTCCTTCAGCTTTTCAAGGAATTTGGATGAACCACTTGAAAAGTTAAAGGACACATGATTAATTAGAGTTTATTAACCTAAATGAGAATAGAAAAAAGTTTAAGGACCCACGGTGTATTTCACCCTATATTTTTAATTGGAAAGGTCAAAAACTTTTCTAGCTCCGATCCGCCACTGATTCAGGATTTAACTTTTACAGTTTCTATTGGTTACTGAAACAAGTGTCACTTTTTATTATGGCATTTTGAATAAGTCGACGCTTCAAATAACTAGTAAATCCTCATAGTTATCCTGATAACCATCTCGGTCTATGAATTCTCAAAGTGAACACCTAGGTCCTTCAACTTTTCAAATAGTTCATTCAAAGTGTAAACTTTAGGTCCATGCATGATTGAACCTAGAGTGAATGAGCCACTTGAAAAGTAACGAATCATGATCAATTTGAGAGTTCATGAACCTAGATGAGAATGCGGAAAAAACTTTAAGGACCTACGATGCATTTGACTCTATATTTTTTATAGGAAATATTCGGACTTAGACCTAGTTTGGTAGGACTTCTCCACCAGCTTTAGAAGCCATTTTATGCTAAACGGGGTAAAACAAAATGGCTTCACCTAGGAAGCCCCTTAAATCGTGCTCTCACAGAGATTTGAGGTGGATGGAACAAAAAAATAGTGGCTTCACCCAGCTTCACCTCATCCTGCATGACGTTCTGTGCGAGCATATTTTAAGAAACTATATATATGTAGCTGTTTTGCCAAACGATTTACCAAAACGACTCTAACTCCACCGATGGAGCTGTTCATGGAGCTGAAGCCTTAAAAAAACGGCTTCACTAGTGAAGTGAAGCCGTGCCAAATGGGGCCTTAGTCTGTTTTACCAGCTAAAAAAGGGTTTTGCTACGGTACTTCTAAATAAATGTGGACCGTCGATCTAGATGGCTATAATGAGGTAATAGGAGAAATATTTTTTTTATTATTTTTGAGAAATAGGAAGCAATCAAATTTGAGGTAACATATCTATTAATTAGAGATCTAACATGCATGCAAACATGTGACCGTGGATTTGTATTAAATGATTCCCAATGTGACGTGTAATATTTTTTTATTAATTAATCTACGTGGAGTTGTAACTTATCTCAACGTTAGATGTACATAAATGTTAGTTGTGTTTTTTCTACAATATGACAAACGCAGAGGTGAATTTTGGTTATTTAAATTAATCAATGTTGGTATTTAAATTAATTAATTATTTTTATAATTCAACATTACTATTCAGTAATCAAAATGCTGCTTTTGACGTTGCTTAGGTTCAAACCATCAATATATTCACATGACATGGTGCTAGGCACCCTTTGCCTTGCACGTACGCTGCATGTCGCTGTTGCATGTTGGTGCACTCCATCGGTTTTTATGGCAACAAACAAACTATTCTTGGATAGTAAATATCTTATATACATTTGTTCAGTTTGTTGCCTTTTTTTTTTTTTTTTTTCTAAATATTTTTATTAATTTATAAGTATTTAATTGTCGTATGCAACTGAAAAATCAAGGGCCAAGATTTGTTTGAGATCTTACCTCCTATGAGGTAAAGGTTGTACCTAAGCAAGGCCCAGCTAAAAAACTTTTCTGCCACTGATTTCAGGAGTTAATTTTTATAATCTCTCTTGGGTTACTGAAACAAAGTCCCCGCTTCATTCAAGTATATAACTAGTCATCGTTCCTCAGTCCTCACTGTTATCCCGACAACTTTGTAGCATCAGGTTGAGAGTACAGGATCTCTTTGTTCCCCAGTACACAAGTGCTATCATCATCATCATGGTTTCATGCCAATTGAGCATTGACATAAAGCAAGATAAGAAACACACCATCCATCACCTTTCTTCCTTTTGCTACCCTTTTTCAGAGATCACACACATCCATTGCCTCCTTTCCTTTTCCTAATATACTCTAGTTGCCATGGTTCCACCTCAGTTACACTGCAATTCCTACAGTGGAATGGGTTCATGTCCTCGTTTTACCTCACATTTTAACCTAACAAGTGACAGAATCAAGGATAGCTAGCAGCACAAAGCATTACAGATTCTTTTTAGGGCTCAATCTTACTGTAATTTGCACTAGACAGATCATAGTCGTCATCGATCGACATCGAAGAAGCTTTTGAGCTCCAACTTCCTTTGCTTCTTGACCCTTGCAATGAAGTCCTCCACTCTCTTGTGCAGCTCCTCCTCTTCTCCTTCCTCTTCCTTCGCCTCCACCTCCACCTCCTCCACAACGGCGGCTCCGACAAAGGCGCTGTGGTCAGCCGCCGTCACCGCCACTGCTGCTGATGCTGCGGTAGTCGTCTTTGCGGCCATCGCCGTGTTCTTCTTCACATGGTCCTCATGTATCTCGTTCACCAAGGAAGGCTGGTCATCGTCCCTCCTCGGCGCCAGCCTAGACTCCCCAACGAGGAAGGCAACGATGAGGTTGCCGACGACGAAGAGGCACTTGGGGCTGAGCAGGAAGGACGTGACCAGGTCAGGGAGGGTGGTGATGGTGAGGAAGAAGAAGCTGAGGAACGAGCACAGCCTGGGGAACCAGGCAGGGCTAGTGAGCAGCAGGCAGAGGACAAAGGTGGCAGCCATGTAGACTGAGAGAGTAGGAAGCTGCAGCTGCCTCCTGCTCTTGTTGTACTTGTTCATGGCCCTGATCTTCTCCATGCTAATGGGATCCATTTGGACTGAGAGAGTAGGAACGGCACTGCTGGGATCTATACAAGAGTGTGTGTGTATGTACAGAGAAAGACCTTCAGGGGGCTCTGCTGGAGGCCACAAAACAATGCATGAGATGGGATGGAGGGTGCGAGAGAGGATTTTATATGTGGAGGAGGGGATGGTAGGCCATGGAAAGTCGGGAAGAAGAAGACGACGACGACGAGGTGTGAGGGGTCATATGCAAGAGCGGTGAGAGGAACAAGACATTGATCTGCTAATGCTATTGGTGGTAGACAAGAGATGCAATGCAGACACATGCTGCTTTTTGCAAGGGGGCATCTGGGATTTGATAATGCTGTGTGTGTTGTGTTGTGGGTGGGGGCAGCTGGTTGTCAAAAAAGATATAGTGGTTCGCTGCTTTTTACCTCAAAAAAAAAATCCCTTTGTTGCTTTGGGTCCCTCTGCTCTTATTATGAACTTGATCCTTGACCTGATGCATGGTCTCCATTTTGGAATTTGGATGCCAACGGCCAATGGATTCCATTTGGACTGGAGGCCTCCGCAAGTTGTTTGGGCGGCTGCATACCTGTGAGCAAATATATAGCTCATCTTCTAACCTAGAGCTACAAACTGTGTCCAAACGAAAGCAATGTCATTGCCATGTAGTCGATTGGTTCCTACAGCAAAGCAGGCTTAGCCTGTCAGCCTAGTGTAGACGGTTCTGTTTTTCTTTTCTTTTTTTCTTTTCTTAAGAAAATGACAAGCGTATGAATGTCAGCGTAACACCTAATTTTTTTGGGCAAATGGTGGATTCGGTATGAAGATCAATTGTGGTATACATATCTACTCGCCATTTCTGCTCATGTAATATGGATCCTAGTGGTACAGTCAGTGCAGGTGCACCTGAAATCAGTTTGGATCCTGCTGAACACGTTTCTGTGTCAGAAGCTGTAGTGAACTGTGAACATGAGCAAGTGATCAACAGTACATTGGGCTGACACATCTGTTTCCTTTTTTTTTTTTGAGCCTGGACTCCTAGTGTATAAGTTGTAGTATCTGTACTCAACACAACACACTCACACCACCACACACACGCACACCCGACACATCTGTTTCCTGTTAATCAGAATGGTGTAGCAATCTGGAAAACTAGAATCCAGCAAGTTGGTACTTACTCCTGTCAACAAAAAGGTATTACCCTTTAATTGAGTAACAGACTGAGAGATTAAGTCAAGGTTAACACAAAACAGACAACATGTCAAAAGCTTCTACTGGAATATATGTATGCGCTGGGTGCATCTGAACCATAGACTTTCAGAATCACAATGTTCAATTTCTCCACTGACTAATGTAGCGCTGGAATTTGGAAATAAGTTTCATCCTGAAATCTATACATTCTCTGAATTTTAAGAATATCTGTTAAGTTTTCACTGTATCAGCAAATGATACCAGAATTCAGCATACCACAGATTCATCTTCTGCTCGCCCACTGTTCAACTGTTGCAACATGGAATAGCTTAAGGACTAAGGAACGATGGTGTTAAACTCGGCCCAGTACGTCCAATCCAACAAGACCTAGTACAGTAGTGGCAATTATCGCCTCCCAAGGTCCCATTTCCTCCCTTTTGCAAATCTACCGAGGAGCCTACCAGTTGAGTGCAGTGTAGAACTTGTCCATCTTGAATACGGCAAGCACCAAAGGTTTCTGTTTGTTTCTGCAATTTGCCTGTCACAATTCACAACGTTGTGACATGCATTGCGAGACATGTATGGTCTGTGGAACTATGGCTCAGACCAACAGAATATGCTTTAGGATAATAATTGAGCAGAGAAAAGGGATCGCAATCGTTGATAGAAAAAGGGTTTCATTACCAGTTGGTGGTTGCATCATAGCTTTACTACTATTATGAGGTGTGGACTGTGAAGTCTGCAGGCAAAGGCATAACTTGTGCAGTGCCGGTCCAGGCCCCGTTCGCGTGTCGTTGGACCTGACGTTTCTTTTTTTTTTTTTTTGATCCGAAACAATATTTTTCTCTCACAAATTCCTTTATTATTTCTCCAAACCATCTAAATTCCTCCAGAATTTCTCCAAGCGAACAGGCCCCAAGGATTTTAAGGGCCCTCTGACGATCTCGTCGCAACGGCCCCTCTTGATCATGTATAAAATCTTATAATATATATACGCTAATTTTACTTGCAAAACGAAAGCAAATTCAATAACTTATTTTTAATTTAACATGTCTGATAATTATCGAGAAACAACGTAGATTAAGCAATATATTTGTAGTTGTATGATAATTATCGAGGAACAATGTAGATTAAAAAAACAATATATTCGTTTTCTTTTTTCACCCATGACAAATGTTTTTTTAGGTAACATTCTAAAATTTAAACACCTAAATTAGAAGAAAAATATGACTATATGGATACAAAGTACTAGAAGTCTGAAATACTATACAAATAATTAATTTGGATTAAAAATAAAAAAGAAAAAAATACATTTAGCATAAACAACTGATCGGTGATCGTAATTCATAAGAAGCCAAGAATTAAGATGTCGTCGTCGTGGAGCCCTGCCTGGTTGCCGTCCTCGTGCGCCGTGTCCGTGTCTCCGGTAGTCTAGCTCTTCGCGGCGGCGCGGCCCGCCGCTCCGCGTGTGTAAGGCGCACGTCGCGAACTCACGATCAGAGTGTGTTGTGTGCAGCGTGACTCCTTGCCTCCTCTCTACCTGAGGGTCGTGGGGAAAGAAAACTAGAAAAGAAATGACGATGTTGTCTTTTTGGGCCGTCTAGCCAGTTCCATGTCTCTCTTCTCATTAGTTTGCTAATGCCTAATAGACTATAGAACCTGGAGGTTTGTATACCTGGGCTTGGGCCCCTCCTCCGCTTGAACCCTCGGCCGTCGCACCTCATGCCCTACCCCTAGGGCCGGCACTGAACTTGTGATAAGCATTCGGTATGTTTGCTTGCTCGTATCTGGCTTATAAGCCATGACTTATCAGCCAACGAACAATATTTATTTCTCACACCAAACCAACCAACAGTACTTTTAGTCATGGCTTATAAGCTAAACCAGCTCAAACGGTTCGGGCGATTGCTGCATGCCTGCAGGGTCATCCCCATGGATAATGATTCTATTAGCCCACCTTTCTTGGTCATGACACAAATTCTGTAACTGCCCATTCATTTGCACAATCATCATAAGCACAAATTCTATAACTGCCCATTCATTTACACTTTGTTGTGCGCCTGTTGCTCCAACACGGCACCAGCCCACTGGTTAGAGATGCATGCAGGTCAAGTTATCCCAGAACACGCAAAATATTTGCGGGTTCACGGACAAGCCGCTTTGCATCTCTACCGGACCGCTGCCACATGCTACCAAGGCACTAGTTCTCTGAATTTCTCGAGGTTCATGGAACCATGGTCTGCGGAAAAAAAGAAGATAATGAGCATCGTAGCATGCCGGCAGAAGCAGACGAACAAAATTAGCAAAACTTACATCGGTTATTAGAGCAACTCCAGAAATTTCCCAAATGAACTCCCTATTTGGATTTTTTTTTTAAAACAAAGAGATCTTTTCAACAGTTTGGTAAAACAACTCCTCAAAAGTATCCCTAAAAACCTACTTAAAAATAAGAACTTAGCAAATCTCCCCTCCAACTCGTAAGTTTCCGCGACAGGAACTCTCTCCGTCCGGTATTTTTCTCGGGAGATCGGCCCAATGCAAAATCGTCTAGAAAACTATTGAAGAGCAAAATAAAATAAATTTATTTTGTTAAATCGAAGTTGATTATAGAAAACACTTGGAGTTGCTCTTAGACCATGCAAAGATAGCAACGGCGAGCAAATCCAGATGCCATGCCATCGGGGATCAGTACATCACCAAATCCTGTTATAATCAACCATGAACCATGTAGCAACACTCAAACAGAAGTAGATTTCATTTGACCTTAGATGACAAATTGTAACTTAAATACAACTAAAATTAACCAAACGAGATCCTCGAGTGTAGAGGCCGACCTGCCAGTAACCTAACTGTAGAGGAACCATTCCCAGATTAAAAAGGGTCTGAGGCCACACAAGTCACATACTCACATTTCAGATAGGCACACTTCAGCTATGTGCCTATATGAATTTCAAGCAATCTCATGAAAAATTAAGCAGGCATAAACGCGCAAGTGGGCAAGAATGCAATAACCCATTAGATAGCTGAGTTCGCAAACAAGTACAAGGTATCAAACAGTAGGACACCAAAATGTTTGTCTTGTCTCTATTTCCAGCACCCAACAAAAACTTAGAACAAGCACTTGATGGTAGTAGCATCCACTAATGACAGAATAGAACAAAACAGGGTACTATGTTCGGCCACTTCACTTCTTGTCTTCCTTCTCCGCCTCAGCTGCCTTCTTCTGGCGGGCACCGAGGTGTTTCTTGTTCATCCGCTCAAGGCGGAGCTTGCCATAGGCCGCAAACGCCTTCATCTCATCTGTAACCTTCACAACCTCAACTGAGCGCTTCTCACCACGAGTAATTGGCATGTAGTCACCCTGGACCTGGGTAGCGGTGGCAAGCTCCTCCGGAGTAGAGTCACCAGCCTGCAACAAAAGTAGGTTATAACGGATTAGAAATCAAAGCAGCCAGGAGAATGCCTTCAAGAGATACCTAGTTCTAGAAAAGATCACTACCCATACCTTGACCTTGCGAGCGCGCCTTGGGAAGATAACCAGCTTGGCCTTGTATGTCTTGAGCCTCTGGACATTGAACTGCAGTCCCTCGAGGGATTTGTTCTTGCGGCGGTGATCCACAGAAATGCCAATGGTTGGAGCAAGCTTCTTTGGAATGCCCGCAGCCTGCAATCAACATAATAACTTTTAGCATCAAGATATAACACAAAGCATCGATGAGAATAGTGACTCATCAGAAGGTAATTCCACAAGGATAAATGAATAACTTTGCCAACCAAGCCACATCTGAAACAAAATCTAAACACCATAGAATAGCATTTTGAAAACATTCGAAGATTTGACGTCATGCAAAAGACAACATATCACCCTGTATAGAAGAGCAGTTCACACAAAAATAGCATGTGACATACAAATTGTATACATACAGCAGCAATTATTTTGATATCAGAACAATGAAACAAACTAGGACATTTGAAAAAGGAACATGGTTCAAGAGTAACACAAATGGAAGGACAATAACAAAGCAATGCATCACCTTCAGCTCCTCAAGGGTAAAGCCTCTCCCAGCCCTTGACTTCATGTTGTACTTGAGAGTCTGGCATTGAACAATGGGGCGAAGAGGACCAGCAGTTGGGCGTGGGAATATCTTCACAGCCTTCTTTTGACGAGCTGCATACAGAACATAGCAGGGTCAAATTAAAAGTTTAGAAGCATTAGTAATCAAGTGGATTTTTATTTTGGTTCCTTCATCGATAGCATAATAGTACTATAGCAAGGGAAAACAATGCACTGCAAATCAGATACATGAAGAACAAACCCTATTAGCATGGCCATCTTGATTGGTATTATATTGACTCAATAGCAAGCTAGTTAAGTAACATAACACAAACATAATAGGTCTGTTTGGTCGGGCGGCTTGGGAGCTAATCAGGCTAAGCTACTGCAGGCCTCATTACACGGAGGAGGTTGTCATGGTAGGAACAAGGAACAGCTAACTGGTGTTACAGTTTGAGGAATGAAAAAACTTAAGTACATACAATCAGGGATTCCTTCTTGTGTGAATAAGGATACAAAACAGTATATTATCATCCAACTCATCAACACAATATGAGAATAAATGTACAAGACTGCAACAAACTAAACCTTGCACAGGTTCATTATCAACGGCAATGAGGCTACTGCAATGCACTGGGCAAGCCAAGTTGTTTATTAGCTAATCACTAGTCGGAATTCATGCACGCGAAATACTGTAAGTAACCACTAATTGGAATTCAAGCAAGCTAAATATTGCAGGTAGGCTGAAAGCCGGGAGGGTCGATGAGCTCACCAATGCGGCGCCTCTGCTTGCGGGCGGGCTGGTTGAACCATGTCTTGACATAGTTCTGCCAGTGCTTCTTGAAGTGCCCGTTGGGGATGACGTTGTTGTGCTTCACCATTTTGCCCTCTCCCTCTCCTTCTTACCTGCACATCAACAACGCAACAGCAACAGCGACGGCATCAGCAGAGACAAACAACAAACACACGGGACCAAGAATCAACGAGGCGCCGACAGCTCCATCCCAGGCCCTCCTTAGCAGCGCTGCGCAGCAGAGTCTCGGGCAAGTCGCAACATCAACGCACGCATGGCCGCACACAAACGCATCGACAGCATCTCACAGCCTACGGTTAGTGCTACGCAACCGATCGAAAACCCGGAGCCATCGCGCAGCAAGATCCGCGCGAGCATCACACAGCCTACGGCTAAGAAGTCGATGAAAAACAAGGATCAGACGACAACTAATCCACCGGCGGCACGGAACGGGGGGCCAGGCGGTAGGAAGCCGGCGAGCAATGGCCAAAGGCCTACCTGTAGAGGAGACGCGGCGGCGGCGCGAGGAGCGGAGACGGAGGGGGTGTGAAGTGGAGGCGGGGTTTTGGACTAGGGTTGGGTGCTTATAGCGGTCGGGGGACGCCGCGAGCCTTAGCTTGGACGGCCGAGATCTCACCATTCCTGTCACAGAAATGATGGGCCGTTCAGTAGGTCTCAACGGGCCTTCTTGGAAGGACAAGTACAAATGTTGAGTGAGGTGGGCCTTTCGTCCCCGTTGCAGGCTGCCCCGCCCGCCTAGATCCGCGTGGTAGGGTTTGGGCCGTAGAGAAGGAGCGTGCACGTTTTAGATTTATTTAGGGGGGAAATTGTCATATTTTTCTGATTAAAAAATAAATACCTATGATTTTAAAAAAAATACTAGCTTTTTATTGTTTTCAGAAAATATAAAACCATCTTAAAATCAACTATATGACCAAATTTGTTGAAACTTCGTGGCCAAAAACAAATTTAGATAATAGTTGGATGGTCAGAAATAGAATGCATGCAGCTGGATTACCGATTGTTTCACAATGACTGGCTATTGAGTTGAATCTATTCTTTGTTGCTGTGGATTAGGATTACTACTAGAAACCACGCGTGGCGTTGTCGCGTGCTTGCCTGTTTTTTTCACGATCGGGAATATAGCCCGTTTTTCATTAAGCAGAAGAGAATTACACGACACAGCTAGCCTGTATTGGGCCATCCTGCCATGCGTGAGTCTATAACCAATTGAGCTCCTTTGGTTTGAGTACGAGCATTAAATCAATTATAAGATCGACACGACCTAAAACTGGCTTTCCCCAAGCAACCTTCTAAGCAAAGTATATACTATTCTGGATTCATAAAACAAGGCAGTATGCAATTCTGGATTCACAAAACTAAAAAACAAAGTTTAACATAGAGAAAACATGGGTGACAAAGAGTACACATGGGCGCTTGCCTCCAACTGTCCATTGGATTCTAGAGAATCGCATTGATGGAACATACATCCACATCTTCATGTTAGGATCAAAGCTAGTGAAGATTACTTCATGTAGCATATTTGTGGGGATTGTCAGTGCATTATAAAAGAAACTTCAAGGAAGTGCAAGCATTGAGTTTTGATTTAATGAAAAAGATAAACTATGTGGGAACTGCTCGTGAGATATGGGAATCAATCAAGCACACCTTCAGTGATTCCTCCATATGGGATGATGGCAAGTTCAAGGAGGAGCCCAAGGAGGAGGTGCATGAGTGTGTTGAGCATGACCACAATTTGGTGATTGTGGAAGAGTGCTCCACCTCATGGTCAAGTGATGATGATGATGATGATACTACCACACGTTCACTTGACAAGATTGATGATGATGACACAAGTGTTGCACATGAAGATTCTACCTCAAGCACACTTGGTGGTGATCTTGATGATGTTGGTTCATGCTCGAGCCATGATTGTGATGCTACTACAAGCTCTTTATCATCACCACATTGCTTCATGTCACAAGGTGATACTAAGGTATCTAATGCTAATATGGTTGATCATGTTGATTCATATGATGACCTTGTTAGTAGACTTGCTAGCATGACCATGTCTTTAGAAAATAAGAAAGCAAAAACATTGAAATTGGAAAATGAAAACTCATTTCTAAAGAACTCATGTGAAGAACATAAGCACTTACTTGATGTTCTTAGAGTTTCACATGAGGAGCTAACTTTGACTCATGAGAAACTACTTACATCTCATGAAGAATTATTAGAACAACATGTTTCTTTCATTAAAATATTTACAAAGAAACCTAAAAATAATGAGAGCTCATCACATGGGTCAAATGATCAATCACATATTGTTGCTAACCCTTGTAATATAGGGAAGAAGTATGTATCCACCTCTTGTGATGAATTATTAGATATGCCATGTTCTTCACATTTAAATGCTTGTTCTACTTCTATGTCTTGTGAAACTAACCTTTTGAAGGAGAACAATGAGCTCAAAAATGAATTGAAGAATTTGAGCAACAAGCTAGAGAGGTGCTACAACACCAAAATTACCTTTGAGCATATGTTGAACAACAAAAGAAGCTATGGTGATATGAGTGGCATTGGATTCAACAAGAGCATGACCAAGGAAAAGAAAAAGAGAAAGAAAAAGATGAAGAAGCAAGAATAAAAGAGGCTATCTCATTTCATGTGCTTCAAATGCCATGAAGTAGGACATCTTGCAAATGGTTGCCCCAATGAAGTGAAGCTCAAGTTGAAGAAAGAAGAAGAGAGGCTCAAGCATGTCAAGTGCTTCAAGTTCCGCATTTGGAGTCATCTCACCTCAATGTGTCCAACCAAGTAATTGGTGAAGTAAAAAGAAGAGCCTCAACCAAAGTCACAAGTAGAGCAAGAGAAGACACCCCAAGAGCAAGTAAAGATTAACCATGGAGATGGTGGTGACTTAAAGAAAAAGATGAAGAAAACAAGAAGGGGTGGAAGAGCAAGGCATCCAATGCTTATTCAAGATGCCAAGATGATGAGCAAGTATGAAAATGAGAAGAAGGTGTATGCTCACATCAAGTGCTTCAAGTGTGAAGATATATGACACTTTGCCTCGAAGTGTCCTACCAAGCTTGAGAAGAAGGTTCAAGCAACTCATGAGAGGCAAGGCAATGAGAAGCACCACATGAGCAAGGAAGAAAAGGCTCAATCAAAAAGGAAGTGTTACTCATGCCGAAAAAGGGGACACATGGCTAATTCATGTCCCCTAGGTAATACTCCTAAGTCTATTTCAATTGATGCAAATATTATGCTTACGAAGGATGGTGATAGTACTTCTATGGTTGCTATTGCAAAATATCCCGCTATTCATACTAAGACTATACTTAAGTATGTTGCTCCTAACTTGAGATGACCCAAACTAGTTTGGGTACCATCAAAAAGTGGATGAATGTGTGTAGGTACCATGGCATTGGAGGCTTGATTCAATGGGTTTCTTATTGTTCATTATGTGTTGAATCAAGCTATAAAGCTTAGTACACATCCAAACCCAATGCCAAGTGAAAATTGAGTGAAGTTCAAGTGCTATCAACATACAAGTGCATTATATCAAGTTATTGGTGATTTATTGAAATATTTGATGGCTTCCAATTATTTGAGTTGAAGCTTGCTAATTGAAAGATCATGAGATAATTAAGGTATATCTCTTATTGATCATTTTATTTGGGTGCATATGAGTTTATTGAATTGGATAAATATGCAATGTTGCTTGCTATGAGATGTTTAAATGGATTTATTGATTAAGTAATCAAGTTTGGATTGATTTGAGTTGGATAAATTCATGAGATGACTTTAGTAAGTGGATTGAATGTATATATGTCTTGTGAAAGTATTCAAACAAGTTGATTTCAAGTTTGGTTTAATTTGATGAAGAATAGCTCAATAGTTGAAATATGTCCTATATTTGAAAATCTGAGTGAGCTGTGATCTTAGCCATTTTTAAGTGATCAAAACTTATTGTATTGGCATAAAAATTGGTGTACATGCTCTAGACTTATGGTATAAGATTCTGTAGAAATTTCATAAGAATAAGAGATGCTTCGATTTTAGAGTAGATCTTGTCAGCTATAGTGCAATATTTTTTAGCATATAGCAATGGTGGAAGATTTAAAATCTAATAGCAATCTAGAAGTCAAATGAAGCTTAAAAATTTATAGCTGCTAGATGACTTAGTGAAGCACATCACCAAATTTCATGGTATTTGGATCTGTACATTGGGAGTTATGGATTTATCTTTGAAGGGTACAGAATCTGCTAGAAAAGTGACAAATGTTGGATTGATTTAGAGTCACTTTGATTAAAAGGTCCTCAAGTTGGAAACATGTTTACAAGTGGTTGTGGCACCTAAATTTGGTTTTGAGATAATCTAGAAGCATGACAAGAAAAGAGTACAAAGCCATTTGATTGTAGAGCGTACTTAGTATATATTTGGTATTCAAAGTGAAGATCAAGACCAAACTCAAAATGAAGTTGAAGTTTAAGTTCTAGTGACAATTGAAGATCATTTGGTAGAAAGAAAAATGACTTAAACAAGTAGAAAGAAAAGGACTTAAAGAAGGATTCAAGATTATTCATCAAGTTAAGTCCATTACTTGGATCAATCAATCAAGTTAATTCAAGTGAGTATCAAGAATGGTTCTTTAGAAAGATGTCATTTTCCCTAGTGTAGGGGCTTGCCGCCTATGTGTAGATAAATCAAGTGTGGTGCTTGGAAGGCTAATATGGAAGTGGTGATCCGAGGAGCATTTGAGATGATTAGTTGAAGCAATAAAAATTATTGATCAAGAAAAGTAAGCAACACCCAAAAGAGAGCCTAGTCATGGTAATTCAAGTGGTATTCCAAATAGTTCTCTTATGTAAGCATTGATCAAAGGATGAAGCAAGTCAACCGCAACTCATAATAGTGCACTTGATCATTAGTGGTTCTCATTTCATATGGTGAAAAATGGATTTCATATTGATGATTGGTCTTCACCAAGTTATTGAATTGGACTTCACATTGCTATTGGAATGATGAATAGGAGTTTATTGACTATCCTCTACTCCAAGATAGCAAAGGTATCATTGTAA